TGTTACGGAGAGGTTTCCACACAAATAAAGGGTGCTTTGTTTCTCTCTCCAACCAACGTGGGATCTCACAACCCAGCGTGCTCGCTGGCACACCACCCAGTGTCAGGCTCTAATACCATTTGTTACTATCCAAGCCCATTGCTAGCAAATATTGTCCGCTTTGGCCTGTTACGTATTTGTAAAAGCCCAAACCCACTGCTAATAGATATGGTCTACTTTGGCCTATTACGTATTGCTATCAACCTCACGGTTTTTAAACGCTTTTGTTAGGGAGAGGCTTCCACACCCTTATAAAGGGTGTTTCGTTCCCCTCTCCAACCAACTGTGTCGATGATGATGGTTGCTAAGAACAACCCTCTCTCTAATCATGAGAAGGAAACCACTAGAGAGAGTACCATTAACTATAAATCATAACAAACACAACATCTACCTTCAAAGTGGCATTGGCCGTCTCTTGCTGAACAATTGCGTACATTTCTCTTGCATGTTTTAGTTCAATTCTCAACTTTTCAAGCTCAAAGTTGACATCCGCCTGCCAATGCAAGTGAACAACTTAAACATACAAACACATCATTCTAACATCAAATAAATGAATGTCATAATGCGAACATCAAAGTCGTGGGTCGTCAAACTATCAATCTCAATAATTGATCCGACCGTACCGAACTCGAACATTATTCTCCAAACGACACCTTCGATAGATTACCTGACTTTCACATGAAACATAATCATTGAATGTGCCTGATGATGAAGCTTCATCAGGAACCCATGACTTGTAATCTGTTGGCAAGCTTTTACAACTAGAGGCTCGACTCAATGTTTGTGCACAATATGAAACATTGGGAGAGGATCGAAGGCGATCCACCGGCTCCTCAATATCAACGGAATGGTACCGAGAATGGTTGGCTACAATGGGGCTACCTTTTGTAGTACGAAGAGACTGATTGATGGTCGAAAGAGCTTGAAACCGTTGTAAGGGTCGAGAAGGGGAAGGAGAATGGAAATGAGAGTAGGATGTAATTAAGCTCGAACTGCTATCTGCATCAAGAAAACAGAACGAAGTGTACGAAAGTAATGCACATCTATGCATAAAAGAGCATATCTGGAGAGGCCTAGAAGGTTTGATGTAAATGAAAATGATATATATGGAACCCGAACAAAAGAAAAAAAAGTAGAAGCCAAAACACTAAGTTTTAGGTTCCATTATAATCCTGTTAACCTAAATCATGATTGCATGTGATTGCATATTCCGACCTCAACAGTGGAGCCACATACTAGGTAAAGGCAGGGACGTACAAGGCAAGTGATATGGGGTTGTTTGTTGAATGTTCAAAGTCAATAAAGATTCCGCGCAAGTTTTCAACTGCTTTTAGTATGCATGTAGTAATGACCTTAGTTAGGTAAAGTTCAAAAAGTCGGGTCATTACGGAAATCACAAAATTTAACCAGGTCCGAGAAATGTAGCTAGGTATATAACGTAAAGACAACGATCCATGTCTCTAGTTGAATGCTTAACTAATTAATGGCTACCTGTAAGTGAGCTAGAAGAATAGCTTGAGTAGCTATGTGCAGAACTTGCTTCACTCGAATCATCTTTAATGCTCACGCTTGTCTCCATATCAGGTGGCCGTATTGAGGCTAATTTTCCTTTTGAAATGGCATAGACCGTACAATATCTAGGTGCATGAGCTGATATTCTTGAGGACAGACCGTTTAGTTTCCTATAAAAGAATGTCATCCAGACACAAGTGGGTTAACAACATAGAAAGAGAAAATAAACGCCGTCCAACTCCACCGCTAGCACATATTGTCTTTCTTGGACTTTCCCTTTCGGGCTTCCCCTCAAGGTTTTTAAAATGTGTCTGCTAGAGATAAGTTTTCACATCCTTATAAAAAAATGTTTTGTTCTCCTCCCCAACTGATGTAAGATCTCACAATCCACCCCCCTTCAGGGTCCAGCGTTCTCGTTGGCATTCGTTCCCTTCTCCAATCGATGTGGGACCCCTCAGTCCACTCCCTTCAGGGTCCAGCGTCCTTGCTGGCACACCGCCTCGTGTCCACCCCTTTTAGGTTTCAGTCTCCTCACTGGCACATCACCCAGTGTCTAGCTCTGATACCATTTGTAAGGGTCCAAGCCCACCGCTAGCAGATATTGTCCTCTTTGGGGTTTCCTTTTCGAGTTTTCACTCAAGGTTTTTAAAACGCGTCTGCTAGGGAGAGGTTTCCAAACCCTTATAAAGAATGGTTCTCCTCCCAACCGATGTGGGATCTCACAATCCACCCTCCTTCTGGGCCCAACGTCCTCGCTGGCACTAGTTCCTTTCTCCAATTGATGTGGGACCCCCACAATCCACCGCTTTGGGGCCAGCGTCCTTGTTGGCACACCGCCTCGTGTCCACCCATCTTCGAGGCTTAGCTTCCTCGCTGGCACATCACCCGGTGTCTAGCTCTGATACTATTTGTAACGGGCCAAGTCCACCGCTAACAGATATTGTCATTTTTAGGATTTCCATTTCGGACTTCCCCTCAAGGTTTTTAAAATGAGGTTTCCAACCCTTATAAAGAATTCAGCAAGAACGGGCTAAAAGGTAGTTAAATACCTGGAGAAAAATCCGTGTGATGAAACCCCTATAACGAGCTTGCTTATTGAACACCTTGTAACCTCTTCTATTATTGCATTTGCAACATCATCTGCTTCAAGAGTCACAACATCATGCTGTACCTACAATTCGAAAGAAGACTCAAGTTCATTCTTTTTTGCTACCCATAATTCAAATTAGAGTAAGGCTGGACCTTTCTCTGAGCAAACATCTTCTTATATGGAACAAGCTTTTCACTTGTCTGCCACCCCATTTCTTTCCTATAAGCCGCAGCAACATCTTCACGAACTTGTGAAACTGGAATTGAGTTTCCCACTGCATCAACATTGGCATAAAGCTTGAATACGCAATCTAGACAAGTATAGCATTAGCCAAGAAGCAAAGGAAAATTTGATAACCGAGTCCAATAATTGTATGAGCCCCTTGTCTATATATTTTAAGAATAAATCTACTCGACACTATCTAACCTTTGTTAGGAATCACGAACTTCGACAATGGTCTGATATTGTCCACTTTGAGCATTAGCTCTCATGGCTTTGCTTTTGATCATCCCCTAATTAGGCAACGTGGGACTCCCTCCCAACAATCCTCAACCGCCTTTACTATAAATATCCTTCTACCCCATTAAAATTTTCATCTCGAGCAATTCCAAGCAAAGCAAGCGTAGTAGTTCTTATAGAGCATCTTTTAATATCTTCTTGATTGGTCTTAATAAAGGGTGTGAGTGTTTCCCACAAATGAGTTATGTTCAACCATCTGGTATCAAAGTTATGTTCAACCTTCAATGTCAAACAAAGAAGTTACGAGCCTCGAATATGTAGTCATGGTGTCTCAGGTATCAAGCAAAGGGTATATTTTGTTTGAGGGCTCTAGGGAAAGAGGCATCAGGGGAGGCTCTTAGTGTACTTTGTTCGAGGAGAGGATTGTTATATCCACGGAGGATTACGGGTATCTAAGTGAGAAACATTGTCACTATTGGCATGAGACCTTTTGGGGAAACAAAAAATAAAGCCACAAGAGCTTATGTTCAAACCGGACAATATCATACTAATGTAAAGTTACACGGTTGTTAGATAATAGCATCATTAAAAGAAATCACATCAGAAACATGAACAGAATGTATATGGCTTACTTGGAGTTGGCACACTAGTAATCCTTGGGATGATGTGTATCAACTTGAAACTAATGATGCCCTTGTGTCGAAAATTTTCCAAGGACCACCTAATTATATGTTTACTGCTTTTGTTCCCACTGATAGCAACTGCTACAGCTGGAGAAGAGGAAGGCAGCAACATAAGATCTTTATCGGCTTCCTCTTCCATCCCCTCCATAATCATGCTACTCTGTGGCTTCTGTGGTATCAGATCAATGGTGAAACCATGTCAATAATGGACAAATCAGAGACCAATTTGTTGGGAAGATCCTCCAAGGGAACAACCAATTTCATGGCTGTGATCGCAGCAAAGCCCCAATATAAGAAGGGAAAAACAGGGTAAAGATAACAGAGGTAGAGAATATAAAAGAGTACCCTCCACAGCCAGATTTCTTCCCAGAGATGAGTTTGCAGCGCCTCAGAACCAAAACACCGGCGTTTGAAAGACTAATGATTAACTAAAAAAACAAAGGGAATCATGTTTGCGCGAGAAAAGGAAGAATTTGGCAAATGGGTCAAATTGTTTTGGTCTTCGTTGTCTTGGCCTCCCCAATACTAATACCACATGCTGCACTAACTAGTATTATAGTTAAACAAATCATGGGTATGGGTATATATCTTATTGTGCAGCTTCGTTGTTCCTATCAGTAAAAAAGTCGTTTTTAAATCGATGTCAAAAAGTGATAAATAGATTTAATAACGAGTTAAATACAATTTATAGATTAAATAGATAGAAATCCCAACGTTTACAGACTAAAATTGTATTAACTTCAACTTATTTAGAGCCACTAAATGATTTTTTTTAATTATAAGAAAATGATTAAAAAAAAAAAAAAAAAGTCAATAAAATGTTTCTTAAATCATCTTTCAATACATTAAATATGTGGGGTTTGAAGTGTAATTAAGGGAAGGCATATTCTCCGAATAATTAGTTTTTCTTTTTTATATAATATCGATAATGTTTGGGTAAGTCAAATTAAAAATTTATAATAATAAAAAAAAAATTCTAAAAAAAAACCAAAATTTAAATTTATTTACCTTTTAATCGAAAAACATTTGGGTTTAATGTGGAATATGATCGAATTTACAATTCTGACCCTGGGGCAACAATATTAAGGAAGAAAATTACTCAATTAACTCTTTTAGTTCCAAACCTCCCTCCCATAGAATATTGTCTTATATAAATACGCTAATTTTAACTAATAATTAAAAATATATATATATATATATATATATATATATATATATATATTCAAACCCTTAAACTAATGAAATTAATGATAATACAAGCACCCGTCACTCACGTCGTGTAGCAAGACTACAAACCCGCTTTAAATAATTTGTCTAAGGAGGCCATACATTTCATTCAACCTCCACAGTAAATTGAGCCCTCGTTGTTATTTTCTAAACTCGAAAGGATTCGAGTAAATCTTTAGAAGGAAGTCTATTCGTGTATGAGCGTTTGATTCAAGCGTCGGGGCCAGAAGCGAAGAGGCTAATAAGGCCACGAAACACTTGTGCTGAAAGCTGGTGTGCTTCAAACAGCTCCCCGTCCAAATTCCAAACACTTTGGTTGCCAAAAGAAGTGAATGTAAACGCTGTAGTCTGTGCACAATGTAGCAGGGTTTAGAGAAACGGACCGTGTAAGAAGTTGACGTTGACACTTGTATTTACTCCGTCCTTAAACTTTAAAAGGTTTCAATTATGTTTCTAAAATTTGAATTGTGATGCTACGTCGTCTCCTATCACTAATGTGACATGCCTCTCGAACCTAATGAGTTAATTGAGCATGATGTGGTAGAATTCTAACAAGACTAAAGCTTAATTTTGTCCCATGGTCCATTTCGTTCCGCTGTTTGTTGAACACGAGATAGATCCACCAATATTGATTCAACAAACATGTCAAATAATTATCTCATTGGAACTCCAACGGAGACGCTTAATTTAAAGTTAATATATGGAATAAATATACTCTAACGGCCCAAGCCCACGCTAGCAGATATTGTCCTCTTTGGACTTTTTCCTCGAGATTTTTAAAACGCGTCTGCCAGAGAGAGGTTTCCACACCCTTATAAAGAATGTTTCATTCTCCTCCCCAACCGACGTGGGATCTCACAATCCATCCCTCTTCAGGCTCCAGCGTCCTCGTTGGCACTCGTTCCCTTCTTCAATCGATGTAGGATTTCACAATCCACCTACCTTCGGGGCCCAGCGTCCTCACTGGCACACCCACATTGATTGGAGAAGGGAACGAGTGCCAGCGAGGACGCTAGGCCTCAAAGGAGATGGATTGGGAGGATCCCACATCGATTAGAGAAAGGAAACAAGTGCTAGCGAGGATGTTGAATACCATAGTAGATTGTGAGATCCCACATCAGTTGGAGATAGAAATGAACATTCTTTATAAGGGTGTGGAAACCTCTCCCGAGCAGACGTGTTTTAAAAATCTTGAGAGAAAGTCCAAAGAGATCAATATCGGTTCGCGGTGGGCTTACAACTCCGTAGACTGTGAAACAAAAAAGGACAGCTGCAGTAAACATACCTTGTGATGTTCCACAAACTTGAAATCCATTGGATTTCCACCTTTTTTGGCTAGCTGGGTAAGATGCCTGTTCACAGCCATGAACAACAAAACCAAAGCCTTACAACATAATGACAAAATGTCCAGACAAAAAGCAGTAACAAAGAACTTGACAAATCCAAGGGATGCTGATAAGAACAGCAAAAAAACAAAAGCTTAATCCATACGCGATGGAGGAGATTGTATTACCAAAGATAGAGAGCATGGTGGCAGTCTCTGATCAATATAAGATGCAAGAAGCCATCCGAAAGGTGAGCATCAGCCACCAAGCCATCTGGTGCTTTTTCATTACGACATGAGATTACCGCAGCGCCAATGCTTAGGAAACGTCCCTTCGATTTCAACCATCTTGTTTCGTCCTGACTCGAATCCGAGCCAGTGTTAGAATGCTGTAAGTATACCTTTGTGCTACAAATACTGCAGTTATGACAACAGAGCACTCTTTTCCCATTTGTATTCGTATCCTCCGACTTTATATCTACGTAGGCTACCTCGGCCTCGTATGAACTGAGAAAAAAGAAGCATAATTCTATAACGAATAAGAACGTGTAAGTATTACCCTCAGCAGAAGGCATACGTTCATGTCGAACGATTCAAAACCGAGTTCAAAAGCACTTAGGTAGTTTCTCATGTAAAGCTGACAGGAGATACCTGTGCCTCAAGAACACTCTTGTACCAGCATAATCGTAACGTCGAGGCCCCATCCAGCGGAATTTTTCGCTCTCTGTAATGACATCTCCATAAAACCCATATCTGAAAACAAAATATACAGAAATTCAGAGGGAAGCTTCCCAAGGTTTTACTAAGTATGTCAACAACATTATGATTGCAATTAACTTCCCAAGCTTAATTATCATCCTACTTGAAGTACGACACAAACGACGATGAGAAACTACCCAGCAAAAGAAGCCGCATAGCGTACGAGAGGTTCTAACTTTGACGTCGGAGTCTCTTTCCACCTAACTACTTGAGCTATATCAAGGTGAACTCTTTTACCCAGGACAATTTGCAGGGTTGATGTAATAGGATCTCGATATCCAGTAGAACTGCAAGAATTAGGACAGCCTCAGAATTGATGCAAAAGATGATTAATGATGAATGGAATTGGCTCCAATAGAAAATAGTATGATCAAGTTTAAATTGTGGAATACAAAAAAGATATAAAAGAAAGAAGTCAAATCTGTTGGTACATTGGGTTGACAAAGCATGTTGAAGGGAGTTAAAGTGGCTATGACGCAAGTTCATAAAGACACTTTGAAAGTCTCGAGAGTAAAGGGAGAGAGTGTAAAAGTCCAAGCCCACCGCTAACATATCTTGTCCATTTTGGCCCGTTACTTATCGCCGTTAGCCTCACGGTTTTAAAACACGTCTACTAGGGAGAGGTTTCCACACCTTTATAAGAAAGGTTTCGTTCCCCACTCCAACCGATGTGGGGTCTAGCGTCCTCGCTGGCAAACTGCCCGGTGTCTGGCTCTAATACCATTTGTAACATAGTCCAAGTCCACCATTAGCAGATATTGTCCACTTTGGCTCATTAGTATCGTGTCAACCTCACAATTTTAAAACGCATCTACTAAGGAGAGTTTTCCACACCTTTATAAGGAATGCTTCGTGCCCCTCTCCAACTAACGTGGGATCTCACAATCCACCCCCCTAGGGGCCCAGCATCCTCGCTGGCACACCGCCTGGTGTCTAGCTATGATATCATTTGTAACAGCCCAAGCCCACCACTAGTAGATATTGTTCACTTCGGCCCGTTACGTATCACCGTCAGCCTCACGGTTTTAAAATGTGTCTACTAGGGAGAGGTTTCCACAACCTTATAAGGAATACTTCGTAAGAGTGAACCTTACGAACTTCTATTACAATGAGTAATACTTTCACTATGAATAAATCGAATCTCCTGATTTCCTTTTATGAGTTCCATCACATCTTTGCTGTCCGCTTTTGACTATAGAATAAAAACATTTCATGGGAGGGACTAATTACATTCAAGAACATAAACCAGAAAATGCCACAATATCAAGCAAATGAATAGATGCATCAGTTTGATAGGGATACATCTTTTATGAGATATCCCCACACAATTAGCAGAAGTATGCACAAAATTGTAGTTACACAAGTAGAAGCAAAAGTATTAGCTAGAATTTTCAACCTATTTAACTAAAAACTAATGAATTTTCATCCTCGAACATAACATCGGATAATTAAATGCAAATTCATGCAAAGGTTGCAAGAAAAGAAAGGTACCACATCACAATAGCGTCCGTTGAGCCAGCAGGAATGATTCCGAATCTGAACCATCTATCAAATGCTGAATCAAAACCATACACTGTTGAGTTCTCTGCTAAGAAGATAGGAGCAAAGCAGCAGGGAACAGGTGAGGTTTGAATATAGTCATTTTAAAGTATGGGGCTATAAATTGATTTTTGCCCTTAGGTTTTTCACTTCTAAAACGTTTGAAAAGGATAGTAAATAAGCAGAAAAGTACATATAAAAACAAACATTATCAAATGGGCATAAGATTTAGAAAAGATGTGTTTCTATAGTACTTACGAGAAGTTGAGAGTCCTGATCCACCATATTTAGCACTTAAGAGAAGTGGCGACTGATCTTCACTTCGATCGACATCTTCGGTTATTGCTTCACTGGAATAGTTACCTTCAGCCTGCACGACGTCTACAATATCCGACGGGGCTGGTGGGTAATGTGCCAAATGCCTCGACAAAAGAAACCCATTAAGGATCTCATTGAAGAAACCATCTCCACCCTAGGGACAGAATCAAAGTGAATAAGATATGATTTCAGAGAGGAGGAGCAAGAACTTGCAATATCTTTCGGAGGAAATATCAGGTTTTAAGGCAAATCTGAAAAGATAAAATGTGAAAGCAGAACAAGAACAGCTAAAGTCATTGTTTCTTTCCTTTGGATGTAAAAGTTGATAGAATCCAGTTTCAGAGATTAAAAGGATGAGATGTAACTCTTCTCATTTTTCTAATATATCTTGTAACCGCCACAGCCCAAGGCCACCACTAGCAAATATTGTCCTCTTTGGGCTTTCTTTTCCGGGTTCTCCTCAAAGTTTTTAAAACACGTATGCTAGGGAGAGGTTTCTACACCCTTATAAAGAATGTTTCGTTCTCTTCCCCAACCGATGTAGGATCTCACAATCCACCCCCCTTTGAGGCCCAGCGTCCTCACTGACACTTGTTCCCTTCTACAAGCGATGTGAGACCCTTCAATCCACCCTCCCCCCCCCCCCCCCCC